CTCCCCTAGAGCTTTCAGAGGGATCAGAGCCCGGCCCAAAACTTAATTTTGAACTTCTAGACTCCAGAACTGTGAGAGAAAAAAGAAATACTGTTGTTTTGTTCACTCAGTTCGTGATATTTGTTGCAGCAGCACTAAAAAACGAATTCAAACATGAAATATCTATTTATTTAGATCTGTTATTTCTTTCATCAGAGTTTTGTGGATTTTCTCATATAGGTCTTGTACATATTTGCTAGATTTATACCTATTTAATTTTCGGGTGCTAATATAAGTAGTGTGGTGTTTTTAATTTCAAATTTCAATTGTTCATTGCTGATATATAGGCCAGTAATTGATTTCCGCGTATTTAATCTTGTGTCCTGTAATTTTTCTATAATTGCTTGTTAGTTGCAGGAGAAATTTTATTGATTCCTTTTTTTGGTCATGTATAAAATAAGAGAGTTTTATTTCTCCCTTCGAAGTCTGTATGCCTTTTAATTTCCTTTTCTTGTGTTATTACATTAGATGGTACGTCCAGTGGGATGTTGATTGGAATGTAGGGCCTTGTTCCTGATCTTAGGGGAAAGCATTGAAACATTTAGAAACAAATAACAGAATAAAAAGCCAGCTGTGGGGCTGGAACACGTCACCCAAACGGAAGAGATGGTTTTTGCCCTGTGTTGAGGTGGTCCCTTTTTTGGACACTAGCAAATGCAACACATTCTCTGTGGCTGCTTTGGTTGCAAAGTTCTTTCCTCGATGGTCCTGGAACAGCGGCCGCTGGTCTGGAGCATGACCGCTCAGGCGGTGTCGTGCGGAACCAGCCGCGGGAGTGGGAACGTGGGCAGTCCTGCCTCAGGAGCAAGAGCCATTTCCAGGCTCAGCTGCTGTGCTGGTGGGCCCCACCAGTCAAGATGCAGACCCTCACGGAGTGGCATCTACTGTGGGGTAAGGACCCTGCCTGGTGCTGTGGGAATGAGAAAACGTCTTAAACTGCTTATAATCCCCAAAGAAGTTTACAATCTACTTTAAAAAGTGAGTTATTTAGGGACTTCATTGGTGGCTCAGTGGTTAAGAATCTACCTGCCGATGCAGGGAACACGGGTTCGAGCCCTGGTCCGGGAAGATCCCACATGCCGCAGAGCAACTAAGCCCGTGCGCCACAACTACTAAGCCTGCGCTCTAGAGCCCGCGTGCCACAACTACTGAAGCCCGCGTGCCACAACTACTGAAGCCCACGTGCCCAGAGCTCACGCTCTGCAATGAGAAGTCAGTGCACTGCAATGAAGACCCATCGCGGACAATAAATTAATTAATTAAATTTTTAAAAATTGAGTTATTTTACTATGCCAACGTTTGTGCCCTGCTTGGGGCGGCCTTGGGCATTCAGAGCCGACCTGTGGGAGGGGGCGCGGGCCGGGTCTTTGCCAGGAGCGCGGGGCTGGCTGAGGAAGGCCCCCTTCGCTTCCCGGGATGAGGGGGCAAAAAGCAGAGGTGACTAATAAAATAACCCCTTTAACTCAATAACGTGGTCATTAATGAATAAAGACCCACAGTCTCTGTGCCTCCAGGCTGCTCTCTGACAGGGCCTTGCACGGGCGCCTGGCGGGCTGCTAAGAGGGCGGCAGTGTCCAGAAAAGAGTAGGCTAAGTCCCGGGAAAAACACAGCCTGCGCCGAGCACCGATCCCACCGGGTCGAGCCCGTCGGAAGCCTGGCTGCGGGCCCACCCGGGCCCACTCGGCCAGGCCTGCTCCCGGGGGGCGCGGGCGCAGGCCCTGCCCCCGACCCCCCGGCGCTGCGGGGACACCAGGGCCGCCCCGCCGGGCCCGGACCGGGCTGGGCAGGCCCCGCGCCCCGCGCCGCAGAGGGAGTGCCCGCCCGCACGCCCGTGCGCCCCGCAGCCCGCGCCCCGGGGCGGGTGCGCTCCGATTCCCGCGCGCTCGTCTCGCCTCCCGCCCGAGGAGCGTCAGGACAGAGGCGGGGTGGGGCGCGGTTAAAAGGCGCTGCAGGTGGGAGCCGGGCCATCCCAGAGCGGGCGGAGGGCAGCTGCAGACGTCGCACTCCCGCCGAGCTCGCGGCTCCCTGCGGCTCCCTGCCCTTCCTGCCAGTCCGGCGGCCGCGCAGGCGCCGCCCCGCGCCCGGACCCCGCGCCCGGACCCCCGCGCCCGGCCGCATCCCCGCCGAGCAGGTGAGGGGGGCGCTACCTCTCGGCCCCTCGGGCGGAGGGCTTGTCTCCGGAAGCCGGAGCAGGTAGGTCGGCGGCCCTTGGCCCCCTCCCCCTCATCCCCCGCGCCCGCCCCCGTCGGCGACCCGCTCCAGGGCCCGCGGGTGGGGGGCGGTCCGCGAAGCCGCCCGCGCCCCGCATCCTCCCGCGGCCCGGCGCGCTCGCAGGAACGAGGAGGGACTGATTTGACTTTTACACCGGGCGGTCCCCCCTGACTCGCACAACAGGTTTTGCGGATGCGTCACCTCGTGGGTACAGGTGCCCCTTTCCCCCACCTCCTCTGCTGCCTTTTGGATTTTCTTGGCTTTCATGGGTCCCTGACGAGGTTCGGCTCGCGTTTAGGGGAGCGGGACTAGCCGGCAAGCCCAGGTGGAACTGGCCGGAGCGGCCGCTGGACGTAAGCCCGGGAGCCTGTGAGCCGCACGTGACACTAGCACAATCACTGGACAACAGTACTTGTCACCGGTGACACATCTCAGTAAAAGGTGGCGGCACCGGAAGGTACTTCCTGTCTTGTGGAGGAGACCGGCCCCAGGTGTCACCCGGCACAGGGTGTGGGCTTTTGACCGGCTTGGCCTCCCTTCCTGCAGAGCAGGACGGAGTCTGAGGTGAGTGCGGCCTGGATACAGCTGTGGACGCCTGCAGGGGCTGGGGGCCTGCAGCCACGCAGGGACCCGGGCCAGCGACCCCGGCACCATGTCCCCCAGGTCGAATCTGGCCGTGGGTTTAGCGCACGGTTGAATTCAGCCACGCACCCTTGCTCTTTCCCTTGGGCGGACTTGATGCCACACAAGTCTTTTCTTGCCCCAGTTCTGGCAGTCTGGTCAGTATTCTAGAAGAAGACGTCCTGCCCCAGCCAGACTCCTTAGAATTTCAGGATGTGCTGTGTAGAGCTTTGTCTGCTGCTCCGAATCCCAGGGCCACTGGGGTGGTGTTGGAACCCTGCCAGGCAGGGGAGAAGGGGTTATGAAGAGAGAACGTCCATAGAGAGAGCCTGTGATATAACTGGGGGAGGGGTGTTCCCGTTGCCATCACCGCGTGGATCCAACCCAGAAGGCGTCAGTCAGTTCAGCTGCTTCACGGTGTCTTGATTTAAAACAAAATTCTGATTCAGGAAATGGGAACTTCATTCTCTTTTTCTTTGACTTTTCTGAAGTATAAGAGCTTTAAGAAGGAAAAGAACCAGCAGAGGTTCTGACTGAACAATTTCAACAGGGTGAGAGGAAAATTCTAACTTGCAGGTCCTTACCATGCACCCCTGGCTCAGTCTGAATGTTCTAGGAGCTGTGAGTGGTTTGTATATTTTAGTTAAAAATTTTAGGTAGAATGAAATTGTGGGAAAATAATTTCTGGCCCAAGCTTCTGGGTCTGTGAGGGCATAATCCTGCCAGTGGCTTCATTATCATGGTAAGATTTCTGTTTGACTCATTTGATCCATGAGAATGGACCGGGGTCCCCAGAGGGCTTTTTCTGTTTTTATTCCCAGGATCATTTAACTCCAGCTGGACTTAAATGTTTGGAAAGGACACAGGTTTGCTTCAGGGAACAGAGACTGCTAAATGGAAAAAAAATTTTTTAACTCTTTGAATTCTCCAATGGATTAAGAATTACATGTACGGTATTAAAATACTCCTTCCTGAAAAAATATTTTGTGGGTTTAGATTCTAAATAATTGTGGCAGTTTCCTCTGGACTTTAACTGTATACATTAAATGCATTTTTGAATATACATATGTATTCAAATTAGAACATATTTTAATTTTAAATTTATCCTTTAATAAATATTGATTGTATTCTCCAAAGAATTTAATTCAGAAGACCCCATGATATAACACACCTCCCACATATGGACATACGATTACATTGAATCTTGGATTATGATAGCTCAGAACCATCAAAGTTTACTTTGGACAAAAAAAAAAAGTCCATGTAATTCTATGAATTGTCCATTTTTATGTTTAGACTCCATAGACAGGATTTTTTTCATTTTTATTGAGTTAATTTTGAAGAAGTCTATAAATCCTAAATCCATTTTATCACTGGTCATTACTTTGAAGGGACAGTTGATGGATTTTTGAGTCACTAAATTTAAAAATCAGCTCTCAGTTTGTCCCTTGGATGACCTGAGATTTCCAGAGATAAAAGGAAAAGATTCTTCTTGATTACGGAGAGAGTTTAAGAATTTTTTTTTTTAGGCTGCTGACTTGTGGGGTAAGGGAGTATATCCAGTTCCTCAAACTCCACCTTCTTTTTTTTTTTAATGCTCAGGGGCATGGGCCTGAGGTTTGGGATTGGGCATTATTATCATTATTGTTATTATTTTGAAAGGGAAAAGGATCCACACTAAAGATTTTATTTTGATGTTACTGTGTATTTGAAGTACAGGGCATCAGGAAACTGGCAGGTCCAGACACCCCCCTTAACCGTTCTGGGGACGAAGGAAAACTACCACCCGGGGTCGTGCAGTGGACCCCCGGGGAGGAGCTGAAGGGCTGTGGCCACAGCTACTAGTTTTCCTGTCACGGGTCACACCCTCACGGCCCTCCGGAAGCTGCACCCGGGTTCCCGTTCCTGGGGGTGCTGAGCGCCACTGGTGGCCCGGTGGTCGGTGATCGATGGTGCAGGGGAGCCGGGTCCCAGAAGAGGGAACCTCACCCTGAGTCTCCTCTGGCCGCAGAGCTGCGAGTGCCTCAGGCGCTGCTTTTGCCTTGGCGCTATTGCGTCTCATCAGCACAGACTCCTCCGCTGTCCAGAGCCAATGTGGACATGGTGAGGGATGCTCTGTCCTCAGGTCCGACAGGGAGTCGGGGATGGCTTTGGAGGGAGTGCAGATGCTGAGGGGATGCTGGGGCTTTAGTTTTGGTCCTGTCGTCAGTGAAACTGACACGGCTTTGTTAAGCAAACTAGTTATGCTTAAATTCTTAAATAAGAATTTTTAAAACAAGAAATTATATTACTGAGGCAGAATGCTAATAGATTTAAACTATTTGAATTTAAGAGGGAAGCACCATCTCTCTTCCTAACACTCTGTGTCATCAGAAGTCAGGTCACTGATTTCCTATTTTCAGAGCTAAGCAATTGGACCACAGCTGTGTGTCCGCAGTGACTAGAGACACTGCACAGCCCAGTGGCGTTTGCTTCTGTGAGCTTCATTGTCAACCACCTTTCTACACAGGAGCCAAGCAAACTTATTCTTTGCCTAAAAGACAGCCAGGAAGGTGCCAGTTAAAATAAACCAGTCTGGGGACTTCCCCGGCAGTCCAGTGGTTAAGACTCTGCCTTCCAAGGCAGGAGGTGCAGGTTCGATCCCTGGTCAGGGAACAAAGATCCCACACGCTACGGAGTGTGGCCAAAAACTAAAAAAAAAAAAAAAAAAAAAAAAGTAAAATAAAATAAACCGCTCTGGTTCACAAAGAAAGAGTTAATATTTTGCTTTTTATTGAACAAAATTTTTATTATTAAAGCTTTGTTTAATACTAATTGTGAGGGGTACCGACAGAGGCAGTTACTTTGGAAAGTAATTTTCAAAGTGTCTTCACATCTTCTGCCGCCAAAATGTTTCTGGCAGGCCCCCCTGAGGCTCTCCTGCCGCGGAAGAGTCCTGGGGGCAGTGGCTGCGGCCTCAGGGCAGGAAGCCTGGCCGGGGGTGGGGGTGGGGGTCCACACCCCCGGCCAGTCTTCTAGGAGGTGAGGTGAGCTCTGCTTCTGTTCGAAGCCTCGACAGTGATGTTCATCCAGACAACAGGGCTTCTCCCTAAGGGAAGGATGGGAATAGACGCTGTAGGAAGCCATCTCATTTCTTTTTCACCCTTTAAAGGCAAATTGCTGATTTTTAGTCAGAGTCAATAAGTATCGTAAAACAGATTATTTTCTGTTCAGCTTTGCTACTTTGATAGAGCGTGTAATCTGGGGACCCAGAAAAGTCAAAAGAAATAAAGATGCTGCCACAATAATTGCCCCTGTTTTTTAAGAGATGCCCCAGGGGGCAGGAGTCAAGGATTCTGCTCTAGAAAGCGGGGGACCTCGTGGGGGGAGATTTGACCTCCTGACCTCTCCCATGACGTCAGCCTCTCCTAATTCCTTCAGGCCAGTGGCCTCTGGCCCCTGGGAGGGGGAGGGTGCTGCCTTACTCAGGCAGCTGAAGATAGACAACTCAGAGAGGAAACAGCCTTCTTACCGGTTGGGGAGTTTCAACTCTCTGCACTTTGGAGGGTTGGAGAAAATGTGACCTTTATTTGAGAAATCAAAACCTTGCTGGTCGGGCGTTGAATTCCGCACTCTTCAGTGGGAGATGCTTACCAGTTAACTAGAGAATATCTCCAGCTTGTAAACAGACAGGATGGACCTCCCAGGTGAGCCGACACTGTAAACTACATTCAAACCTCAAGATATTTGTGTTTCTTCCTTCCACTGGGTGCGTCCCGGTGCTTCCAGGTCAGGAGGGCTACAACTGGGCAGATTTATTCTAACAACTTCCACCAGGAGCTGAGAGTGAATTCTACAGTTCGTAGCTCTCCAATAAGGTTTTTAAATCAAAGACTCATTACCGTGGACTTGGAAATCCTTTAGGTCACGGGGTCAGTGGTCTGAGGCGGGGGTTAGACGCAGATCCTGAGACCAGTCTTCCTGACCGAGGCCCCCGTGTCCCCCCAGACCCGCGTCGGAGGCTCACACAGCCTCTGATCAGAAGCATTAAGGACAAGGAAACACAGCTTTAAGGAGTGTGTGTTTAAAGAGCTGTGCTTTTTTCTCAGCTCTCCTTTTCAAAAAGCAAAAGCCTGGCTGTGTGTACATCCGCCTTTGAGTCCCGCTTAGTCCTGGATCCACACAGGAATCCAGCCCCCAGCCCCTTCGCTGCTCCCGGGGCTCCTTCCAGGCCCTGGCCCCCGTTCCCGGCCAGGTGGATGCCCACCCGTGTGCGGGCCGTTCTGGAAATGCGCGTGAAGAGCCGCCCAGGGCGCCCGGGCTCCACTCTCCTCACCAGCCTGAGAGGGAGAAGCCTGAGCCCACGTTCAAGTGCAATAAAGTCTCCCCCAGGGGGGTTGACAGAAGGCCTTTGGGGCCCCTCCCCCGAAAAGGCTATGAGAACTTGGGTGAGCGTGTCTTTCTGAGGAGATGGTCTTTCAGAAGATTCTCAAAGGGTCCATTATTCTTTTTTCTTCTGAGCAGAATACTGACCGACTCTGGTCTGCCGTGGCAATGCAGAAGGGGTCCGTTTGCTTTGTGCAGAGTTTCTTTAGGAGTCAAGGCCCCTTCGCCTCAGGATGTTGGATCAGAGCCTTCACAGGGGACCCTGCACTGCAGGTGGGGCTGGTCCTGCACCTGCGGCTCCTGCTGTAAACTTGGCACCTGTCTGGCAGGGGAGCAGCGCTGCCCATTAAGGGGAGAAAAGTGAGCACTTTCTGTAAAAGCCTGTGGTTCTATTCTGGAAGAGGCTCTTTGAGTAGCTTACGGCGTTAGGTTTCCTAAGAGCACATGATTATGGCAGGTCATGTTGTCCAAGCTAGAAGTAAATACAAGCTTATTGTACAAAGTGAACTAATAAGTGTTTGGTTTCCTTTTTTCCTCTTCGTAGTCCATTGGGTAAAACAGATTGTGTCATTCCAGTGAATGATTTTTTTTCTTGGATAAGCCCTTTAACAAATAAAATCTACTCAGGGGGCTTCCCTGGTGGCGCAGTGGTTGAGGGTCCGCCTGCCGATGCAGGGGACACGGGTTCGTGTCCCGGTCCGGGAAGATCCCACATGCTGCGGAGCAGCTGGGCCCGTGAGCCATGGCCGCTGAGCCTGCGCGTCCGGAGCCTGTGCTCCGTAGTGGGAGAGGCCACGACAGTGAGAGGCCCGCGTACCGCAAAAAAAAAAAAAAAAAAAATCTACTGAGGAACATCTGTGATCCCTTGGGCAAAGCGAAACAGGGATTAAAAGGGAGCTTGGAAATGAATGTGTTTGCCTGAGGTCCTGGGTTAGCGGCTAGTGTCAGGCAGCAACCTAACGTATAATCCGAGTTCAGCTGGACCCAGAGGCTTGTCAGCCCCCGCCAGACGCGAGAGTGCTTTCAGAGTGGGTGCTGTCCCTCCCAGAAAACCACCTCCGAGCAGCTCGCGGGGTGAGCTCAAGAGAGACGTGCTCCTGTCTGTAACATTACAGCAGCTTTACAAATTGCAGGAAGGTTCCACTAACTACCCTGTGCTCATTTTCGCCTGTTCAGGATAAAGCGGCAGCATGGACTGGGGCACACTGCACACGTTCATCGGGGGCGTGAACAAACACTCCACCAGCATCGGGAAGGTGTGGATCACCGTCATCTTCATCTTCCGCGTCATGATCCTGGTGGTGGCCGCCCAGGAGGTGTGGGGCGATGAGCAGGCCGATTTCGTGTGCAACACGCTGCAGCCCGGGTGCAAGAACGTGTGCTACGACCACTTCTTCCCCGTGTCCCACATCCGGCTCTGGGCGCTGCAGCTCATCTTCGTGTCCACGCCGGCCCTGCTGGTGGCCATGCACGTGGCCTACTACAGACAGGAGGCCGCGCGCCGGTTCAGGCGCGGGGAGAAGAGGAACGAGTTCAAGGATCTGGAAGACATCAAACGGCAGAAGATCCGGATCGAGGGCTCCCTGTGGTGGACCTACAGCAGCAGCATCTTCTTCCGAATCATCTTTGAGGCCGCCTTCATGTACGTGTTCTACTTCCTGTACAACGGGTACCACCTGCCCTGGGTGCTGAAGTGCGGCATCGACCCCTGCCCCAACCTCGTGGACTGCTTCATCTCCAGGCCCACGGAGAAGACCGTGTTCACCATCTTCATGATCTCCGCGTCCGTGATCTGCATGCTGCTCAACGTGGCCGAGCTGTGCTACCTGCTGCTCAAAGTGTGTTTCAGGAGATCCAAGCGAGCACAGACGCAAAGAACGCCCCCCAACCACGCCCTCAAAGAGAGTAAACAGAACGAGATGAACGAGCTGATTTCCGAGAGCGGGCAGAACGCCATCACGGGGTTTCCTAGTTAAACGGGGCCAGGCACCGCGCAGCTGACGTAGCGTCGCGGAACTGCGGCCTTCCCCGGAAGGCAGCGCCGACCGGGCGTCCTGGCTCTCAGCTGAGACTCTGTCCTTACAAACGGCTTTCACCATTCATAGACACCCGAGTTAGCTTTCTGTAGAATAATTGGGCCATGAATGTGCCACGTAATCAAATGTGTGGCCCGGCTCTACAGCCGGGCCTCGGTGTGACTTTTACATGTGGGTTTAAGTGGACCGTCTGACATGGCGGTATTTCCTGAAAATTTAAGGACGTAACTGTTGTCAATAAAACATTTATCTAGAAATTGATACTTTTATTAGGAAGAGATATTTTTATAGGATTGAATGTTTTAGTTCTGATTTTGAATTTATGTAAAGTATTTTTATAATGACTGGTCTTCCTTACCTGGGAAGACACACAATGTTAATTTTAGAATCATGCCTTCAGTGTCTAATATTTAAGCTTCCTCTGTCTCGTCGTAGGTATTGTTTTTCCTTGTCTGCTGACAAATGTGTGACCTGTCATGGCTCTTAGGGTGGAAAGGGTTCACTGTACCATGTATTTTCACTGCTGTCTGGGCATGGCCGGAACTGTATGGAAGCGGGAAGCTTTTCGTAGGGGCTGATTTGCAGTCCTCGTGAACGGCTGACGCAGGAACGCGCTCCCTCAATAAAGATGAGCCCTTTGCTGAAGCTTCTGTTCCTTCTGGGCCACTGCGTCGCTGGCGACCTGATGGGCAGCTCGGGGCAGGCTGCTGGGGAGGCCGCGTGGCTGGAGTGCTGGTGTCCGCGCACCCCTGCCCCCTCTTCCCATCCCTCTGGCAGGGTCGCTCTAGCAGCCCCCAGGCCTCAGCTTGGAGAGGGGTCGGCTGCTCCAGGACATGGAAGGTGTCCCCTGGGTCAGCTTCCAGCCCCTCGGACAAGGGGAGAGGGCCCTTCAGTCCACAGCTCTGCACCCACAGGTGGTAAAGGGGAGGGCTTCCTCCCGGGCTTTCCGGGTGGGACACGGATGCCTTTAGTGGGGGTATTGGTGCACCAGCCGGGGACCCATCACCCTGGAGATGCCACACCCCAGGGCCACCCCTGTGAAGGGTGCAGTCAGCACACGTGCTACGCATAGGGACGGACACCTGGTGAACCGCGAATATTCTCCAGGGCTGGACCTGCGTGCCGGGGTTCCAGACCCTCTCCCCAGAAACGCAAAACAGGAAGTCCCATTTTCTTCAGAGTCCGAAGCAAATTCCAGACATATCCTTTCATCCATAAGTATTTTAGTAGCGATCCATGAAAACCAAGACCTAACCTTTAAGAACAAAACCACGATTTTTTCACAGGGAAGATCCAGTCCGCCTCCATAATTCCTGATGGTCCCATGACAACCTTTCCTGATAAACGGCTGTTGAATGGGTCTCAAGCAAAGCCCATAAACAGGATGGGGGGACATGGGGGGGATGAAAAGGCTTCGGTGGCAGCCGCACTGCGTGGGAGAGGCTCGTCCCGCCCGCCGTGCTCCCAGGGCTCCCAGCCACCCCCTTCCTCCATTTTCCCTCTCTCCTCCGCTCCTTCACTGCCCTCAATGCTCCTGCCCCCGGAGCTGTGTCTCGGCCGCCCCTCCGGGTCTGAGGTGGTGGCCACACTGCCGGCCTCGCTCACCCGTCACCTCCCAGCACCTTAATCTGGGCCCAGCCCCGCTACCAGCCCAGGCCGCCAGAAGCACCAGTGACGTTCTGACACCAGCGTAATGGCCTCTTCTCAGCGTCATCCTCGTAAAGCTCTCCCTGAGGCCGTGTTCTGTCTGGATTCCGAGACACTGTCCCCTACCCTTGGGCCTCCTGCGCTGGCTTCTCTCCCTCGCCCCTCCCTCGGGTGGAGACCTTTCCTCTCCTCTCCCTGCACTCTTCTTGTGAGATATTATCCCCATTTTACAGATGAGGCCACTGAGGCTCAGACCAAGTTTACCCAGCTAATCAGCAGCAGGGCCAAGATTCAAAGCAGGCTGAATGTCTCCAGGATCGGTGGCTTCGCTGCCGCTCCCACAGCTTGGTGCTCAGGGACCACAGTGCCAACATGCCCATCATCCCTCATCCAGCTCCAGCAACCATCTAGCCGTGCCCGTTCACATTCGGGGGGTCTCGCCCGATTATCCCCCAGCCTGGATGACTGTAAAGCAAATCCCAGACAGATCGTTTCTTCTGCAGATATTTCAATATGGGTCCTTTAAGAGTATAGACTGGGACCTCCCTGCTGGTCCAGCGGTTAAGAATCTGCCTTCCAATGCAAGGGACATGGGTTCAATCCCTGGTCGGGGAACTAAGATCCCACATGCCGCAGAGCAACTAAGCCCGCGTGCCACAACTAGAGAGAAGGCCGAGTGCCACAACTACTGAGCCCTCGCACCACAACTAGAGAGAAATCCGCACGCCACGAGGAAAGATCCTGCATGCCGCAACAAAGATCCCACGTACTGCAACTAAGACCCGACACAGCCAATAAATAAATATTAAGAAAAAAAGAGCATAGGCTAAGCTTTTAAAACAAAAACAATGCCACCATCACACTAAAATAGCTAGTCCATGTTCATAATTTCCCAATTGTCCTGCTCATGTTCTTTTCTTTTTTTAATTAAGCTTGTTATTTTGAGATAACTGTAGACACATGTAGGTGGAAGAAATAAAACAGACGTCTCGTGTGCTTTGGGCAGTTTCCCCCGATGGTAACATCTCGAAAAACTACAGTCCAAGACCTCAGCAGGACACAACACTGACACAGTCCAGATACAGAACATTTCCATCACCACCAGGATCCTGGTGGGGCCCTTTTATACCCATACCCGATACCCTCTGATTCCGATCCCACCCACTCCTGGCAACCACTAATTTGCTCACCGTTTCTCCGATTCTGTCATTTCAAGAAAGTTGCATAAACGGAATCGTGCAGTACGCAACCACTGGGACTGGATTTTTTTCTCAGTGTAATTCTCTGGAGACTCACTTGGGTCACCGCACCAGGAGTTTGCTCCCACTGCTGGGCTGCATGGTGGTTGCACGTTTCATTTTTGAAAGCAGCCGGTGTTTTCCAGAGCAGCGGCATCATGACACACCCCCACCAGCAACGTCTAAGTCACCCGGTCTTTCCTGAGCCTCGCCAGCATTTGGTGGTGGTGTTATTTTTCATTTTAGCCATTCTTCTTATTTTCAATAACCGGTTCTTAGATTGAAGTATAGTTGAGTTACAATGTTGTGTCAGTCTCAGGTGTACAGAAAAGTGATTCAGTAATACATATATTCCTTTTCAGATTCTTTTCCATTATAGGTTATTACAAGACATTGAATATAGCTTCCCACGTCATTTTGTCATTCTGATAGGTGTGTTGCATGTGCATTTCACAAGTAGCTAATGAACTTGACCACCTTTTCATGTGCTTCTTTGGCATCTCTCTGTCCTCTTCAGTTCTTTCGCTCGTTCTCTAATTGGATTGTTTGTTTTTCTACTGTTGAGTCTTGAGAGATCTTTATGTACTGTAGACACAAGTCCTTGGACACAGATAGTGGTTTGTAAATATTTTTCACTCTGTGGCTTTTCTTTTCATCTTCTTAACAGGGTCTTTTGCAAAGCAATAGCTTTTCATTTTAATGAAGTCCAATTTCTCATTTTTTTAATTTTATGGGTTGTGGCTTTGGTGTCAAATCTAAGAACTCTTTGCCTAGCCCTAGGTTCCAAAGATTTTCTCCTATGCTTTTTCTAAAAGCTGTCTAGTTTTATGCTTTACATTGAAGTCTGTGGTCCATTTTGTGTTAATTTTTATAAAAGGTCTGAGACTTGAGGTTCACTTGTTGCCTGTCGACATCCAGCTGCCCCAGCACCATGTGATGAAAGGCTTGCTTTCCTCCATTGAATGCCTTTGGCACTTTGTTAAAAATCAACTGGAGGGCTTCCCTGGCAGCGCAGTGGTTAAGAATCCGCCTGCCAGTGCAGGGGACACGGGTTCGAGCCCTGGTCCGGGAAGATCCCACATGCCACGTAGCAACTAAACCCGTGCGCCACAACTACTGAGCCTGCACTCTAGAGCCCGCGAGCCACGACTACTGAAGCCCGTGCGCCTAGAGCCCGTGCTCCGCAACAAGAGAAGCCAACGCAATGAGAAGCCCGTGCACCGCAACGAAGAGTAGCCCCCGCTCGCTGCAACTAGAGAAAGCCTGCGCGCGGCAACGAAAACCCAACGCAGCCAAATATAAAATAAATTTAAAAAAAAATCAACTGGGCATGTTTGTGTGGGGCTATCTCTGGGTTCTCTGCTCCACTGACCTCTGTTCTCTCCCTCCGCCAGCACCACAGTCCTGATTCCTGTGCTTCATTTATGTCTTGAATGCTCGAGTGATTCTTCCCTCTTTATTCTCCTTTTTCAAATTTTTTCAGCTACTCTAGTTTCTTTCCCTTTCCATATAAATTTTAGAATAATCTTGTCTATGTCTACAAAAAAATCTTGCTGTGTGTTCGATAAAAATGGCATTAAACTTGTATATCAATTTGCAGAGAATTGACATCTTTATTATGTCAAATCTTTTATCCATATACACAGCATATCTGTTTATTTACTCCGTCTTTGATTTCTTTCATCAACATTGCATAGTTTTCAGCATACGAATACGAAAAGTTTCATTTTATGTAAAAAGTAAAAAGATTTACTTCTAAGTATTTCGTTTCCTTTGAGTGATTGTGAATAGTATCGTATTTTAATTTCATTGTCCGTATGTTCATTGCCAGTGTATAGAAATAACCGTTATATTTGTTGGCCTATTTGCTTATATCCTGTGATCTTGCTGAATTCATTTAAAAGTTCTAGATTTCTGTAGTTTCCGCGGGATTTTGTGCACAATCATACCATCTGCAAATAGAGATAGTTTTATCTCTTCCTTTATGATCTGTGTGTCTTATATTTCTTTTTCTTGCCATGTAGCACTGGCTAGAACTTCAAGCACTATGTTGAATAGGAATGATAAAAGCAGAAATTCTTGTTCCTGATCTTAAGGGGAAAGGATTCAATCTTTCACCACTAAGTACAATGTTAACTGTAGGGTTTTTGTAGATGCTCTTTATCAAGTTGAGCAAGTTCCCCTCTATTCCTATTTTTCTGCTGGTTTTTATTATGAATAGGTGTTGAATTTTGTGGAAAAAAAATATTGCATTAAATGATATGATCATGTGATTTTTCTTCTTCAGCCCATTAATATGATGGATTACCTTGACTAATCTTCATACAGAAACAACCTTGCATCCTTGAAATGAACCTCACTTGGCCATGGTGTGTAATTCTCTTTATATATTACTGAATTTCGTTTGTTAATATTAAGCCTTCTTACATCTACGTTCATGGGGGATGTTGGTCTGTAGTTTTCTTTTTTTTTTTTTGTATTGTCTTTGTCTGGTTTGTGTCAGGGTAATACCAGCACCACAAAATGAACTGGGGAATGGTCTTGCCTCCTCTGTCTTCTGGAATAGGTCATGCAGAACAGGTGTAATCCTTCTTTAAACATTTGGTGGAATTTCCCAGTGAAACTATCTGGGTCTGGACATTTCTTGAGTTTCTCTTTAACAAATTCAATATCCTTAAGAGTTACAAGGATCTTAAAATTATCTATTTCATATTTGGTGAATTGTGATAGCTTGTGTTTCTTGAGGGAGTGATCCATTTC